GGTGGGCTGGGAAATTTAGAGATGGGTCGGCTGCTGGACAAAGGAAATGGGTTGGAAAATTGAGTGGGCTGCTGCTGTTAAGGTAACGTAATGTGTAGAATGGGCTGGAAATTTGCTTTTGGTCAAACTTTCTCTTGAAAATTAATCCAAGAAATGGACAAAGGGTGGCTATATTTGAATTTGAATAATAACCAAATGAATTGCAAACTTAGTCCATTTAACTTTAAAATTTTGCCAATTTGACTCAATTAGTGAATCTGACTAAAGATTAAATACAACGAATTAATATTAATTAATTAACGATCTTCTTAATTTTAACGAAATAAAATAATTAACTTAATTATAAAATAATTAAACTAACTGTCTTAAGAGTATAACTATAATTAAGACTAAATTATATTAATAAAATATTCAACTCATAAACATAAAAAATATTTCTGTGACGCATCTCAACTACTAAAAAAAACTAATTGAATATATGTACCTATATAAAGCACATTAATTATTTTAAAAATCACATAAATAAGTAAAATCATTTTAAAACTTGACAAAATATTTTGAGTTATTTCACAAAACCAATTATTTCAAATTGTTTGAAAATTAGGAAGCTCGAAAATTGATTCCTATCGTGGCGGGTCAAAATTGGGTGTCAACAAATATGACGTCGAATACATAGATTCACGAGAAATGAAAATAGATTAAGACGAGCAAAACAGTTTGAAAACTAAATAAAGTGCAGCCATGAAAACTTTAAAAAAATAAACGAGAAGAGTACCAATATTTTAAGTTAGAAAATAGTTTCGAATTACACATTAACCACACATACATATTTAGATCATATTCTCAAATAACCAGTTCTAAAAGATTACAACATGACAATACTCGAAATACTTCATGAACAAACCCAACAGTAAACAAACAACATTTTAACCTCATAAAACAAAATCAACAAATGCATTGATCCACTCACAATCTCCATAAAAATGTTTAAAGACGATTATCTCACATGAAGGACATACTTTATACATTAATCAACTAAGATGTCTCCATTCGAAACCAAACAAGCTTTCATCAGACTATCAGCAGTAAATCAAGAAGAACAGAGACAATCGAAAAAGAAGAAGAAAACAACAGGCCACTTCAGTTCGCAAAACGAAAACACCAATCAAAACGATTTAAAAATTAGAAAAGAGTTTCACCTTTTCCGGGGCAGCAAACGGGACTCAATGAGCAGAGACGAAGTTTCTTCCAACCACACAAGAGAGAGACTCCAACGGAAAACTTGAATAGCCCAAGCGAACAAACCATAATTTTATCGAACACTATCGTCCTAAACGTAAAATAACAACTCTTTCTTTAGTTTCTTTCTCACTGTCGCTCCATTCAATTTTTCCAACTTTGTTCTCCCCCAACCCTAACAATGGAGAAAGAGGAGGCATTTATAGAAGAAAACTAGGGTTTGGAATTTTGGGGGGAAACAAATGAAATCGGATAAGACAATGGACCAATTTGAAATTCAAACTCCCAATTTCTTTTGCAATTCAGGGGAGACACATTTTTTTTGAAATTTCAACCCATTTCGGAAGAGGAAAGGGATCGGTTCAATTGTCCTTAGGCGCAACGTGGAGCGATCTCACTGCCCCAAGGACGGTCCAGCGCTGCTACAACAGATGCTTTTTGCCGAAAATCACGGCTGGAACAGTACTATCGGAGAGGTACGCGAAGAAGATGACAGTAAAATTGGTACCGAGCACGCGTCTTGCTCACGCCGTGTATTTGCCATGTGGTTTCCGTCCCCTTGCAAACGTTAGCGTCGTTCGGAATTGTCGTTTGGTTGCTACTGTTTTCGCATTTTGCTAGGCGTTGTTGACGTCTCCTCGTATTGTGAAGACGCCGTGATATCGCTGTCCAATGTTTGGAATCGTCGTTTTCTGGGTCTCTTTTGTGAAGGAAAAAAAAAGTGGACGGGTCGGGTCGGGTCGGTTGATGGAGTTGGGTTGGGAAATTTGGAGTGGGCTGCGCTGAATTGGAAAAGAGAATAAGAGTTGGGAGAAATGGGCTATTGAAAGAAGTGAATGAGGATTGGGCCTGCTGAATTTGGTCAAATAAGCCCAAAATCCTGTCTTAGATGGGTTGAATGAAATTGATTAGGTTTTGAATTGAGGATTTGGCCAATGGATTGCAATTTTGGCCAATTAAATTTTATTACTTAGCCAAATTGAGTTACTTAGCAAATTTGGCTACAATTCAAATAAAGTGAATTAATTTACGAGCTTCTTAATTTTAACGGAATAAAATAATTAACTTAGGTATAAATTAATAACTCAAAATATAAGTATTAATTAATTAAACCATTTAACCAATTATTTAAGTGAAATTAAAATCTTTTTGAGGCAATTTTAGAATATTCATAGAATATACTAATTATATTCATAATTACATAAAACATATATATTATTTAAAAATTATAAAAAAAAAAGTGACAAAACCATTTAAAATAACTCAAAAAAAATATTTTGGATTTTATAAAGTCAATTATTTCAAATCGTTTGAAATTTAAGAAACTCAAAAATTAATATATCGGAAAGGGTCAAAATTGGGTGTCAACATAAATAAGAAGCATTTGAGTTATGTTTATGCATCTGATTTGCGAGAATATCAATTGGATTACTCAAGTATGTTATTGATTCGATTTCTTTATTTAAGGACGGCTAATTTCTTGTCGTTGTCGTTCTTCTCCTTCAAACTGCTTAGTTGAAGATTTTTGAATCTGTTTTGTTCATTTTTCTGCCTTCACTTGGTCATACTTTGGCCTACTTATAATGTTGTTTCAAGTTTGAGATATAGCAGCTCACCCTTTAGTTGGTTGCCGCTCGTTTTAAATATGATTCATATCTTGAGCATTCTATTGCCCTAGCAAGATGTAATCATGCTAAATGATTATTTAAGAGTTGTCAATTCTTTTTATGTTGTAGATAGTATTAGTTCTTTTCAAACTGTCAAAATATTACTTCTCTGTTTGCAGTTAATTATGGTGTTAATATTGTAGTTGCCTTCTCTTTAAGCTCATCAGTGATTTTTTTTTCAATTATCGCTATGTGAATAAATGTTATACATATGGCTGGTCTCTTCTAGGCATTAGCTTATTGTCACTTGATTTTGTTTCCCTTAAGTGATAAATTATTTTTCGATAGCGTCTCTTAGTATTTTTTTTTATGCATGTTTGTCTACTTAATAGAATGAGGCATTCACTGTAATATTAGCCACCTATCTTGTTTTTCCTAAATCACTTAAATGTCAAAGTTTTGGGGTTTATAGTCTTTCTAAGTGATAAACCATTAAAATGATATTTGTTTGTTTGTTTATTTATTTATTTATTTATTTGTCTTGTGTAGTTAAGCTTAATTCTTTTTCTTGGTTAAAATATGCAGTAGTTAAGCTTGACCATATATTAGTATATAATTAAGTTCTCCTTTTCAGTTTACATTTATTGTATTTTGAGAGGAGGTTTCTCTTTTGAACTTTTAATCTATTTTATTCCTTTTATCATATGGTATCAAAGTGTTGATTGTTGTTTAAATGGTCCTTATGACGTGATTGGATACTATGATTTCTTTATCCACTATGAGAAGTGCATCTTGGTTGTTAAATATTTTTAATTCTCATTGGCTTTTAGTTATAATTTTATTTTTCTTATGATTAATTCCAACATGTTAAGGCAGTAGCTCTTTGGCAATAATGGGTTTGTTGGGTAAATTGTGGTGAAGGACAATTTGTTGAATTGATTATCCTTGAGCTTTATATCTTAGTTTATTAAAGAATTTGTTCGTTTGCTAATCCTTTTTTTCCTCATTTCCTTTGCATGAACTCACCCGTTTGAGTTCATTCAGACTTTTCATTCCCTTGCATTCTCTTCTTTTCGAGTCAAACCTCCGTCAAGTTACGAAAGAGAAGCTGATATATTGGGTTGAGACCCAAAAAACCAGCAGCAACAGTAGCTCCAAAGAGCTAAACTGAGGAGCAAAAATTGGGTTAAAACCCATAATTAACAAAGCAGCAACAATAGCCTTGAAAAGGCTGAAAATTGATAATTTTTGGACTCTCAAAGGTCCAATTGAAACGGCAGGAGCAACATCAACTAGAAAGGCGAAATAAATTTCAGCATCCCCCTCGTTTTCCTTATTTCCCTTATTTTTGTCTTATCATTGCAATATTTTCTTTATTATATTTTATTGTGAAAGCTAACAACTGTAAGATCCTTTTCTTAACTTAGATGAATCATTTGGACGTTTTTTAATGACTTTTCTATTTCGTCATTTGTTTATTTAAGTATTTTAATTTTCAAAACCTCTTTTACGTTAGACAATCTAAACTTCAAGACTAACTTGAGAATTATTCATATTCTTTCATAGTTAGTATTTTACTTTCAAATCCACGCCTAAGCGATTATGTTGATTATTCGACTCAAAAACTTGACTCGGATAAATTGTTAAGTTAAAATTTTATTTTGGCACTTTAACATTTGAATTATTTCTTTATTTGGGATAATACGAATGTACAAGTATCAAAAGATTTCTCATTTTCAAAAATAAAATAAAATAAGATTTTTCAAGTAATTTAAGTTTTCTTTTAAAAACAGCCAAACTTTTAAATTCGTCGGTCAACGGCGCGTTAGTGGATTCTCTAAGATGCCTAAACCTTCCTTAGAAATAATTCCTTACCCGACTCTGGTTTTATTTAAAATGTTTTCTCTAAAAAAATTCCTTTCTAAATGGTTTCTTAATTTTAAGTGGCGACTTCCAAATTGTAATTTTTTCCAAAAATCAACAATAAATTTGTCAAAGTTGCGAAAATGGTTTCGAAATCGAATCGTAACAATGCTTTCTTAAAAAGGCTTGGAAGAAGAAAATTGATCATCTTTCATACTAGTTCTTATTCCAAGCATGGAAATTTCATTTGATATTGAATTGAAATGATGATACAGTTAATTATTTGGGAATTCAAAGTTTTATATTAAGCTTTTTGGGAGGTTTTAGCCCCTCAAGAATGGTGTCTGCAGCTCCTACAGCCATCTGCGTATTGTTTAATCCTTTTGCTATTTCAGGATCTTGAATTTGTGCGTTGGCTAACCCAGTTGCACAACTTGTGGCATTGTCGAGAGTCACCTTAAGATCATAATCTGATGTATCACTAGCATAGCCTTTATCCTTTTTAATAACCTTAAGATTCCCTTCCAATCCACTAGCCACTTCATCCCAATAAGTTTTGCAAAGAGCATAAGCCTCAATAGCTTGTGGACTGAGTTTTCCTCTCTTGTGTTTCGATAGATATGAATGTGTATTTTTTGATTGGTCCACTGCTGACTGAAGAATGGCAAGTGCAAATTCTAAGGGTTTTGATGTTGCTGCAGCTGCCATTACCTTAGGATTGCTTTTGAGGTAATTTATGCATGACGATTTGTCTTTCATACCTGAGCAAACTTTGTTAACAAGTGCTATCGCATTATTGGGTTTTGAAAGTGGAGCAGCAGTTGAATATAGAGGAGCTACTAAGAGGACAGAGCAGAACAGGGGAAATTGAAATTGGATCAATTTGCGCAAAGAGGCCATATTTGTAGCTAGATGCTTTGAGTCTTAACCATTTACTGTTTTCTTTTTATAGACGGCCCAACTAACAAGTCACCTCAAGAATCAACAAATTAAATTGAAATGTATATATGATTTAACCCTGGTTAAATCTAAAAAAGTCTATATTGTTTTTAATTAGAGACCTTGGTTTCTAGTTTTGGACATGAGTCATTTCTATTAGAGAGTATTTTGTTCGGTTTGAGTAACGTGTGAATGGGAAAAATGAGAATTACTAAGTGAAGGGAAAATGAAAAGTCATTTCTCCTCATTGGTAAATTAAAGAAAGGAAATTTTTTGTCTTTATATTAGAAAACACTTTATTTACCTCTTAAAGAATTGTAGAGTGTGTCGCTCGGCTTTGACTTTGACAAATAATTTGCTTAACGTTCGGAGTAGAGAGCAACCCAAGACTTGACTTTGACTTTGGCAAATGATTTGATTGACGTTCAGAATAGAGACCAAACGTACCCTAGGTCTTGACTCTTGAGCATAATTCACACCTCAAAAATTAATTCAAAGCGAAAAAAATTATCAAACCGTATAGGAAGACCACCCATCTCATTTACTACTAATATGAGACTTTTTTTTTTCATTTTTCAATAAAGATATGTTTAGATCCTATGAATAGTGCTTATATAAATACAATGAATCCCAATTTGATTGCCTAACTCCACCTTATTTCTCACAGTCATGTGTGGTGTCTGATTTTTTCTTGTAACATTCATGTGTTGTGTATTATTTATCATCCTTCAATTTTAGAGGCTTAAGTCATCGAAAGCCTCTTAAAGTTATCCGCATAATTCATTTAGACATCTCAACTAAGACTCTTACCTATTAGACACTTTAATATTAACAAATATTTAACTATTGAACATAAAATGACAACTAGCTTTAAAAATATTGTGCGTGTAATTCACACACATTATCTTGACAAAATCACGAATAGAATTACGATATGTGGCACATGGGCCCATGATTTTAGTTTTGAAAATAAAATAAAAAAATCAGCCTTTAATAATCTAGAAAATTAAATTGACTCCCCCCCCCTCCCCCATCTAACCTGTTGCCCTTTCTTCTTCATCTTCTTCCCTGTCACTCCGCCATCGTCAACCACCATCGATTCCTCCGGCGATAACAAAAAAGAAAATATCTCTCCCACCCCATACCGAATACACCCACCTAATTGTTGGGTTTTAAAGGTGTGAACAGGAAATGAAAGGTTGTGACTCTCCTGAAGAGTTGTGACTATGCCGAAGGGTTGTGAACTTTATGAACGGTTGTATCCTTTCTAAAGGGTTGTGACCGTTTGAAAGGTTATGCCTTTTCCAAAGTGTTGTGACCTTTCTGAAAGGTTGTCTTCTTTCCAAAGGGTTATGACCTTTACCCTTTGTTGGCTATAAATAGAGAGGTTTTCTCTCATTTTTCTGCATCGAATTCTTCCCTTCTTTTGCATACATTTCTTACAAAACAAAATCGATCGATCGTGTCTGTGTGTG